TAAATCCCGCGCGAGAACGCGAGTTGGGAATACATTGTGATGAAATTAGCAGGCGGGCGCCGTTGTTGTTGTTGATGTTGTTGTTGTTGTTGCTGTTGAATTCTCATTCTTGAAGAATAAGTATTGTTGATCCCCCCACCGGTGCACATTGATTTTTTTCGATTGAAGTGCCACCCCCGGGGCTCGCACCTTGTTTTTTCTTAAGGAAAATCTTCCTGCTCAAACTGTGCCCCTGCCCCCCGGGCTACAACAACAACGGCTCCCGCCTGAGACTTCCTCGATTTTTACTCAGGACCCCCGCTCCCGCCTGAGACTTCCGCGCAATTTACTCAGGAAAGGCGCTCCCGTCTGAGACTTCCTCGCAATGTAATCAAGACCCCCGCTCCCGCCTGAGACTTCCGTGCAATTTACGTGGGAACGGCGCTCCCGCCTGAGACTTCTTCGAATTTTACTCAGGACCCCCGCTCCTGCCTGACATTTCCGCGCAATTGACTCAGGAACGGCGCTCCCGCCTGAGACTTCCTCGCAATTTAGTGAGGACCCCCGCTCCCGCCTGAGACTTCCGTGCAATTTGCTCAGGAACGGCGCTCCCGCTTGAGACTTCCTCGCAACTTAGTCAGGGCCCCCGCTTCCGCCTGAGATTTCCTCACAATGTACTCAGGACTGCGCTCTCGCGTGCGACGTCCTCACAAATTATTCTGGAATTGCGTTTCGGCGCTCAGGAACCACGCACGCGCCAAGGACGCCTTCACAACGTGGTATCTTCCCTCTTCCTTCGTCCTTCCCCCTCCCCTTCCTCCCACTCTCCCTCGTTCTTCCCCTCCTCCTCTTGCAGGGCCCGCGCCAATTCCAATGGCGGGCAGAGAGATGTACGCCCCCGAAGGATTGTCCGCCCGTTCCGGTTTGCCCGTACGTCTAAGCCCGCCGGCCCCAGCAAAGAGAAGTAATCCCCCCGAAAGGGGTGTGATCGAAGACGAAGAGGGCGGGTATCGAGGGTGTAGGGTATACGTGTTGAATGACTCGCGGGCAAGTAAGAGCGTACAGCCTTAAAATTGTTGTTGTTGTTGTCGTTGTTATTGTTGTTGTTGTTGTTGTTGTTGTTGTTGTTGTCGTGGTTGTTGTTGTTGTAAACCAGGGGCCAGGGACACAGTTTGGTGACACCTCACTTTAAGTGCGAACTCCTAAAAAAGGCATTGGTTACAGGGCAGGAGTATCAACAATTATTCTTGAGAAATGTCAAAGCAAGAACAACAGCAACAACAACCACAAAAGCAACAACACCATCAGCAACAACGTCAACACCAACAACCCAGACACTTAAAAACTGTTCGCTCTTATCTGCTCGTGGGCCACTCAACACGTACATGTGTTACCTGCCACGTGTATTTTGTGCAGCCCCTAAGGCAGGAGAAGAAAGGAGGGATGGAAGGAAGGGACAAGGGGGAAGGAGGAGGATGGAGCACGAGAGAACATAGCAAAAGGGGGGGCTTGGAGCAGAACGCACGTGGCAGAACCGGAGGGGCGGATCGGGCGGCCACCCTAACGGGCGGGTCGAGAAGGCGGGTCCAGGCGGCCAGTCCGAGCAGGCGGGTTGCCGAAGCGTGATTCCTGCATGAATCGCGAGGAAGTCTCGAGCGATAGCGCGATTCCCAAATCATCGTGAGGAAAGCCAGAGCGAGAGCGTGATTCCTGAGTGTCGAGGGCGCGGCGTCTGAATAATTTGCGAAGATGTCCCGCGCGAGAGCGCGATTCATGTATACATTGTCAGGACGTCCTGGTCGAGAGCGCGATGCCGGAATACTTCGTGAGGTAATATCAAGCGGGAGCCGTGGATGTCGTAAACCGGGGACCGAAGACACAATTCTGAGACCCAGGAATTTTCCTTTCCGCGGGAAGGGCACTTCATTTGAAAAACACCATGTACCCCAGAGGGGGGATCAAGAATAATTCTTCGATCGTGAGAATTCAACAACATTAACAACAGCAGCAGCAGCAATAACAACGACCAGCAACAGCAGCAGCAACAACAACAATCAATTTAAGACTGTTCGCTCTCACCTGCTCGAATGCCATTGATGACGTGTATCCCAAACCGTCGGTACCCGCCCTCTTCGTCTTCGATCGTGTCTCCTCCAGGGTACATATTCCTTACCTGCAACGTGTATTTCGTGGAGTCCCGAAGGCAGGGGAAGAGAGAACGATTGGAAGGAAAAGACAAGGGGGAGGGGGGAGGATGAAGCGCGAGAGAGAGAAAGAAGGGGGCTAGGTGCAGAAAAGACGTGCGGGCAGATCGGGCGGGTGGACCCTAACATGTGGGTCGGGAAGGCAGGCCCAGGCGGCCAGGTCGAGCAGGCGGGTTGCTGAAGCGCGTCCTGCGTGAATCGCAAGGAAGTCTCGAGCGATAGCGCGATTCCCAAATAAATCGTGAGGAAATCCAGAGCGAGAGCGTGACTCCTGATTGTCGAGGGCGCGGCGTCTGAATAATTTGAGAGGACGTCCCGCTCGAGAGCGCGGTTCCTGTATAAATTGTGAGGAAGACCCGCGCGAGAGCGCGATGTCGGAAGACATTGTGAGGAAGTATTAAGCGGGAGCCGCTGTTGTTGCAAACCGCGGGCCAAAGACACTATCTGAGACCCAAGACTTCCCTGGACCAACAAAAATAGGGTGCGAGCCCTGGGAAGGACACTTCAATTGAACAAATACCATGTGCCCCGGAGGAGGGATAAACAATACAGTTTCTTCAGTGAAGAAATTTCAACAGCAACAACAATGACGACAACAACAACACCAGCAGCAACAACAACAACTACAGCAGCAGCAGCAACAACATCAACACACAACAACAACAGCAGCACCACCAACAACAACAATAACAACAACGACATCTACAGCAACTACAACAACAACGACAACAATACCAACAACAACACCAACAATCATGTTCAGACTGTTCGCTCCTATCCTCGGTATCCGCCCTCGTCGTCTTCCATCGTACCCCCTTGGGGGTATGTCTCCCTTACTTGCCACGTGCATTTAGTGCAGCCCCTAAGTCAGGGGAAGAGAGGACGGGCACAAGGGAGAGGCAGAAGAATGGAGCACGAGAGAAATTAGCAGGAGGGGGGCAAGGAGCAGAAAACAAGTGGTAGAACTAGACGGGCAGATCGGGTGGGCAGACTGGCGGGCGGGTCGGGAAGGCGGGCCCAGGCGACCAGGTCGAGCAGGCGGGTTGCGGAAGCGTGGGTCCTGCATGGGCCGCGAGGAAGTCTGGAGCGATAGCACGATTCCTGGGTAAATCGTGAGAAAACCGAAAGCGAGACCTTGATTCCTGAGCGCCGAGGGCGCATCGCCTGAATGAATTGCGAGGAAGTCCTGCTCGAGAGCGCGAGTCGTACATGAGTTGTGAGGCATTCTGGCGCGAGAGCGCGATTCATCAATAACTAGATCGCGAGGAAATATCAGGCGGGAACCGTTGTTGCTGTTGTTGTTGCAGTTCGGGGGCCAGGGGCGCAGTTCGAACAGGACGACTTTGCCTGATGAAACAGAAGGGTGCGAGCCCCAGGACGGGCATATCAATTAAAAAACATGTGTTACTGGAGGGGGGATCAACCATCCGTATTCTTCAGAAATGAGAGTTCAACAACAATCATAACAACATTGACAACCAACAACACTCACAACAACAACAACAACAACAACACCAACAACAACAACAACAACACCACCACCACCAACAACAACAACAACCAACACCAACAACTGCAACAACAACAACACCGCCAATCTCAACAATAACACCAATTGCAACAACACCAAACAACATATAACGAGAAACTATACTACATAACGGAAAACAGCACCACCACCACCACCAACAACAACAATGCCAACCACCAACAACAACCGACACCAACAACCACAACAACAACAACCAACATCAACAACCACTCAAACAACAGACACCATACAAAAGACAACAGCAACATATGCAACAACAACAGTAACAACAGCAACAACAACAACAACAATTACTAGCACGTGGGGACACTCCGTTCTCACCAGTGCCAGGGTTTTCATACGACGCCCGCCAATACCCCCACTTTGTGGGGGGGCCGGTTCAAGCTCTACCACATTTCCAAACGACTCTTCGCCACCACCCACACCCAGCTTCCCGCCCTATGACGTTCGGACACTTCACTTCGTGGCCTGCGGACGACCGTGGCTACTACACTGGCGCATGGGTACAGTGACTCGTTGTGGTAACATTTTCTGGACGCTAGCTTAGTATACGACTTTTCCCCCTGCTCCAACACTGGACACATGTTTTTCGAGGACCGACGGTGCGATTCGTATGATTTTATGTTGCGCGGTGCTAAAATTCCTAAGAAACCCAATGATTTTTGAAGATTTCGGCGTGCGCGCGCGAAGAAAAAACGAATGTGTCCCACATGGTATTATTTGACAGGGATGATGGCCCTGGCAGGCGCGCAACCTTTGTTGCAGAAGTTCGAAGCACGTGAAAAAGTTGTTCGCAAGAGCCCGTTTGACAGAAATGTTGAAAAAGTATTGGGTTTCCTAAGAAATCCGCAAGAGCGCGCGGGGTGAATTTTTGAAACCCTTTTTTTGAAAAACCATTGGGTTTTTCATGTTTTTATGTGAAAATCGCTACGAAGACTAAGGTTTTGGAAGGATTTCGTCTTGCGCGCGCGAATGTGCACTTCGTGTCATTTTTTGCAAGGGATTCTTGAAGTTTGGTCATGTTAGAACAAGAAATGTCCACTTTGCCTTATTTCTTGCAAGGGAAAACCGATCGTAACAACACAACCGGATCTGGACACCCCGTTTTGCCTGAGACTTCCTCACGAAAATGATGAAAATGTGGCTGCGGCCTAGGCGCGGCGGGGGGGGCGCGCACCAGGGGTCCCAACAATAATTATTCTTTAGAATTAATAATGTTCAACAACAACAACAACAACAACAACAACAACAACAACAGGCGGCACCTGGAGGTCGGCCTGCGGCAAGGGCTCTGGCTCGGCTGGCGCAGCCTCGAGGGCGCGCGGGCGGGGGAGGCGAGGCGGCGGCAAGACGGGGGGCATCCATCGGCATCGTCAGATCGGGAGCTCGGATCGGGTCGGAACGTCCGGTGGCAACTCATTGGAGCCTCCCATACCATCTCGCCGGCTCCTGCGAACCGACGCCAGTTGACGCTAGTCGACGCTGAATCGATGCTAAATCGACGCTAATCGATGCTAATCGGCGCTATTTCATCGAATCCCAGACGCTAATCGACGCTAGTCGACGCTAAAAACATAATTCAAAGTGTGCACCAAGCTCCCACCAATTGCGACCGAAGAATTTGCGTCGGATCGGGCCGCGTCGGCACGGAGTCGAGATCGAACCGGGTCGGCTGCGTCAAGATGCGCAGCAGCGCCACGGGAGCATCGAGCCGCATCGGATCGTCGGCACATCGGGATGAAATCGGGTCGGGCGGAACCGACATCGGATCGGATCGATCGGGTCGAAATGGGCCGTGGACAGGGGGGAGGGGAATAATCAGCCTCGAGCATATCCCTATCGCAAGGATTGGCAAGCCCAGATGCGATGACACTCTTGGGGATGCGCCTTCGGAAACTGAGGGGACATCCTTGAGATCGGCGTCGAGGTAAGGTGATGCCAATCATAGGGATGGGGATCTGTTTCAGGCTGGTAATCCGCGGCGCGCCCAGGGGGGAAGGTGAGAAGGGGCGGGAATTCTCAGGAGGCACGGAAGTCCCCCTGGCCTTCTGAGAAGTTTACCAAGCCTTCCCCGAAAACACAGAAAACCTCTCAGAAGCCGGAGGGCTTCTGAGAAGCCCCGCAGCCCCCCCTCGAGACCCCCCCCGGCGACTCGACTGCTCGGACCGACACGCCCCCGGGCGAGTCGGTCCGTCCTGGACCTCCCCCGGGCGTTGCAGGACCTGCCTACCAGAAAAGTCCCCGCCTGAGCTTCCCCTCTTGGGGGAACTTTGGCGGGGGCGATCCGCGCAGGGGCGGCATTCCACCCCCCTAAGCAAGGGCGATGAAAGGCGGCGAATCCCCCCATAAGCCACGCCTCCCGCTCGCCGCCGAGGTAAGGGGAGGCGCGGCGGGAGCCACGAGCGGCGAACGCCCACCGCCCTTCTGCCTGGACTCCGGGGCGAGAGCCCGTGGATCTGCGCGGCCGCACGGGTGCGTCCCGCGCGGGGCGTCCGCGAAGGGAGGCCCTGTGATCACATGCCCCCGACGTCGTGACTGTCCACGCGACCACACGGGAAATCTCGACCCCATCCCCGGGACCGGTGTTTCATCCCGTGTCGTTGTTCGACGGCCCCGTGGCCCCGAAGCGAGGCTGCAGAGGCAAGCTTCACATCCATGTCTACTGTGCTTCGGACTTTCTGGGAAGCGGCGTTCCAAGGCGCAGCGGATATGGAAAAAAATCGTGCCCCTGTCAGGCCCAGACTTTTATCCCGTACCCACTGCGCGTCTGGCCTCTGGGGACGGGAAGCCGAAAACTCCGAGACGCCGTGGATATGGATACAAATCTAGCCCACAGAGGTGAGGCTCCCACGCAGGCTGGGCGAGCCCCGAGGCGGACATGGCCACCCGTGGGTGAGCTCGTCACGCCGACGCTGCCCGACAGGACTCGCGAGGGCCCGGAGCCTGGGCGGCGTCGAGGGGCGATCCGGCGGGCCACATCTGCCCCGCTGCGCAAACACCACCAGGAGTGGCAGGACCACGCGCCCGAGGAACGAGGGAGGGGCTACTTGGCGCCGCACCCGCACGTGGACCGCCGAGAGTAACTAGTTGCCGCCGATTCCGTAACACTTGGGCCTGCACGACCGGGCGTCACGGAGCCACTCCTTGTTACCCAGCCTGCCTCCTCCTTCTCCTCCTCACCCACACCCTGCCCCTCCTCCCCCTCGTGTTTGAGCTCCCTCCTCCTGCCCCTGCTCATACCGATGCTGCTGCTTCTCGCCATGTTCCACCTCCTTCTCCATATCCGCCCTCCTCTCCTTTTCCTCTCCCCATGCTTCTCTACATATCATCCCCCCTTCCCATCTGCCTCGACCTCCTCCTCCTCCTCCTCCTCCTCCTCACTTCACTTATACTTTCCCTTTCACACTCCTCCTCCTCCTCTCCCTCATCCTTTTGCTCTTCGGGGGGGGGCTCCTTCTCGGCAGGCGGTGCAGCCAACGATGCCTGGACTTCCTCGGCCTCCTGGCTGCAGCGGGGCGCATTGCCAACACTGTCACGCTGTCGACCCACCACCACCATCACCACCATCTGATACATAAGGCTCCGCGCAGAACGCCACGGATCACATCGCAAATGCGGGAGAGAATGGCGCTGCCAGCCGCATCAGGCAGCGCATCAGGGCCAGTGACCACCGCGCAGACCACCACGCAGTCACAATCGCAATCGCGCCAATGAATCCACACCGAGCAGAAAGAGAAGAACAACCAAACAAGCACACGCTTCTCTACATACACTTTTTCGCTGCCATGGTGGGCGGCTCTAGCCCTGGGTCCCGTCGGCACTGGTAAGTTTTTGCCCGCTCGAACGAAGCCTATTTCGCAGGAGTGTTCGGGCAAAAGGGCAGTGCGACGAGTTCAGCAGAGCGCGGGGAAGAAGGGGCACTGATGAAGGGAAGGATCGCGCTGACTGGCAGCAGGGGGCCCTGTCAACTAATTCCTCGTGGGGAGGGCCATGCAAATACGTTCGATTGATTATTCGATGTATTGCACATCCGTGCCATGCCAATTTTTTCTGGCTTCGCCCTTGAGGCTCCCGGAGGGGCGCCCCGAGGAGGGGGGAACGAGCGCGGGACAGGGTCGGGTCGGCAGAGCGGGAAGGGGGCGACCACCGGCCTAGTGCATGCGAAGGTGTGCATAACCCACCACCATCACGGGCGGCGCCACCACTCCAAGATGTCCAGTCTTGCTGACACAGCAGGGGATGGCGCGCGAGGCAAGGGGGGGGGGACCAAACCACGTCAAAAGTTCATGCTTCTGTGTGGGTCTGGTGGCGCCTGAGAGCAGCTAGCAGCAGGCCGACCAGACGGGGGAGCCAAACAGACATTTCGAGCCCTCGGCCCCGAGGGGCTCCTAGGTCCTAGGAGCGAGCCCTCGGTCCCGAGAGGCTCTCAGGCCCCATTAGGCCCCCGAGAAGCTCCCGAGAGGCCCCAAGAGGCACCCGAAAGGCCGTAAGAGGCCCGCCCCCAAGGCTCCCCAGCGACCCCAAATTTGCCCCCCAGAGGCTCCCGAGAGTGCCCCACGAGACCCTAAGAAGCATTCTTGAGGACTCTGACACCCCACGCCAGCGTCGTCGTCGCCGCCGCAGCCGCCGTCGACGTCCACCTTCAGGGTCGGCGGCACCGGCTGGAAGGCCGTCGCAATAGCGGGGAAAGGGCGCGCGAGGCAGGGGGGGGCCAACTCACGTCAAAAGTTCACGCTTCTGTGTGGGTCTGTTGGCGTCTGAGATCGGCAAGCAGCAGGCCGACAGCGCAGCACAAGACAAGAGGACCGCCGCGCCGCGAAGCCGCCCAGCGAGCCCCTGGACAGCTCCAGGCAAGGTTTGCCGTGCTGCTGCCCCACCAGCGCGCTGGCCGCGGCAACCGCCGAAACCGCCCGCGCGCCGCCCCGTGGCCGCGCCGCTGGCTGCGGCAGGTGGTGCACCGCAACCTGGGCTATTGGCGCATGCGCCGGCAAGGACAGCTATGTTCGCGCTGCGTGCGTCGCGCTGCGCGAAGCGCGAAGAACTTCGCGCTCTCGCGCCGTTCCCCGCGATAGAGAAGAGGACGAAGAGGATGAGGAGGAATCGCGAATCGCGAGTCGCGACGGGCGACAGGATCTCAGACATGCTCGCGTCGTGAATAAATCACAACGGGAAGTTTTTGACAATTTTTACGGGCAACGATGGGGGGGGACCAGCTCAGGGAGGAAACATCAGCCTTGAATCGGGAATACATCGCTGATATATTGGCGATAGGCCCCCGATTGCGAATCCGCACGTTCCTGGGCGGGGTGGGGCTGTCAGAATCCCTATCGGCGATGAGAGTAGGCACTTGGGGATCGGCACAATTCCCCCTGAGCCTATCCCCCCTAACATTGCCCTTAAATTTTCGGCCTTGAGGGGGCCTCGCTGGGCCTCCACGCGTTGAAACAGACAAGACGTAGCATGTCCGAGAGATGAGCTGCTTGATGCCGTGCTGCCTGCTCGATGCAAAATCAAATCCACTCACCGGCGTCGGGGATCTACTGACCCGGGTCAACGCAAATTTGGATCAGTCAGGCCTTGCAAGATCCTGCAAGATCCTGCAGACTCCTTCAAGATCCTGCGCGCAAGCCAAGGTGGAATGCATCCCTGGCTCTGCAAGATCCTGCGAGAACCTGCGCTCTGGCTCACCCCCAGTTGTATTGACACCCGTCTCAATGCTCCCGACACATGCGCGAAAACGGGTCACTTCCCGGCGGCCCTGGCCCAATGAACTGGGTCACTCCCTGGCGGCCCGTGCGCCGCGAGCGCGTCCATTCGCGCGGCGCTCCTGGTGCCCAGTGCCCCCACGCAGTGCCCCCTTGCACCCTGGAAACCCAGGCGCTACACGCACTCTAACCTTTGAGGCGCAAGCGTTACACGCACTCAAACCTTAGAGGCACAAGCGCAACACGCACATACGCCTTAGAGACACGAGCGCTACCTGCAGTAGTCATATATCGTCGTCGTCATAGCTAGTGGTTCATGATCAGTCCTACCATAGTGCTTAATATACTGGTGTGGCATGTGTTGGGGATATTGTTCAGGACGCTGCTTATGTAATGTGTGATGCCATGTGGTATGATATAATGTGTGGTAGACCTCAGGGTATTGGTTCGGATATTGTTTGGGAGATTGGTTTGGATGTTGGTGAGGGTTCTTGTTTGGGATCGTGCCGTGGGTAGTGCTTCGAATATTGCTTAGGAAAATGCTGGTCATACTGTTTATG